CCCCCCCCCATAGGTTATTTATTTTTTCAATTACAGTTGACATACGATATTATACTAGTTTCAGGTATATAAGGGTATCTTGGGAGGTTACATTTTTATAGATTTGTGATTGATATAATTAGTCTGTCATTATTCTTACATTGTATATATTGCTCATTCTAAAGTTTATACTGATGATTATTTTAAAAAAGTAAATAGGTATTCCAGAGATGTCATTGGTGGTAATTATAATATGTTAATCACCTAGCTGGCATGGCTCAGCGATTGAGCATTGACCTATGATCCAGGAGATGGAGGTTCGATTCCTGATCAGGGCACATACCTGGGTTGCGGGCTCAATCCCCAGTATGGGGCGTGCAGGAGGCAGCCGATCAATGACTCATCATTGGTGTTTCTATCCCTCTCTCCCTCTCCCTTCCTCTCTCTCTGAAATCAATAGAGATATATTTAAGTAATAATAATATGTTTATCAAATTCTAACAAAGAATTTTAATTAATTGGGAATCGAACCTGCGACCTTTGGATGATGCTCTAACCCACTGAGCAACACTAGCCGGGCGTGGTGATGGATATTAACTAGATTTTTTTGTGATATATACAAAAAATAGAAAATGTTGATTCAGATGGATTGATACCAGTTTGTAGTTACTGTAAATCCTTAAATTAAAAGTCAGAAAGATAAATGAAAATGCTAAAAGAATTTTGTAAGTATATGACTTCACATAATTTTGAGAGAGTAAAGTATAAATCTGACATTCTGTTGGAGGCTTTATAGCTGAAAGGTGAAGATTGGAAAGTCAGTAAAAAAAACCACAGGAATTTTACTAGCACTTGGCCCTCATCTTTACCATAGAGCAGATTATTAGTGTAGAAAATGAAGAGTACAATTCCAGTGATTTTTCTGGAAAGAACATTAAGTAAAAGTAGTATTGAGACTCCTGGAGAGCTCTAAAGCTAAATAATACATTTATAATAGAGATACTTTTCTTTTCAAAGTTCTCAGCTTAACTGATGGGAAGGAAAAGTCATACCTGTGAGTGTGTGGGAAGATATGCTTTAGGATAGCAGGAGAAAATGTTCCAGGGTTTCTGAAATAATGTTCTATTGTCTTTCCCTGTGACCATTAAAAAAAAAGCCACAAGCAAACTAAAATTACCTTGTTATTCTCAAAAATGTTAAAAATATTTGTTGCCATGGAGACAGTCTTCAGTCTAGATTCTTGCTGGCAGTGTAGGCTTATGCAGACCCGTGGGGACGTAACATTTCATATTTTCAACACCACAGCTGACAACATTTGTTCCTGTGGTTAAGATGAAAAACATACCTTTCTTTATCTTTGGAGTTCGTGGGCACATTGAAAGGACTCTGTAAATAATGATCGGAAAATTCTTTCTCACCATGCCCAGTTTTTAAGTCAAGACTGAAACTCATAGAAAACAAAAGAATATTAAGCCAACTAAAGAACTGCAGTGTGTATTTTAATGCCTGTGTTGTTTTTGCTTTGTATTTATTTTCCTTGTATTGTGGGTTAATTTTTTTAAAGATAAGTTCTCTTTAGAAGGAGAAAAAAGCATGAGTGGTTTTAAATACAGAAAACAGGCATTTACTAATTTTGCACAGCAGTAAGATCCGATTGATTGCTACAGGCAGTGTAGTACAGGCTTCTGAAATGAACCACGTTCAACTTTCAATTTCACCGTTTGCCAGCTGTATAACCTTAAGTATGTTAACCTCCAAGCCTCAGTTTTTACTGTGTGAAGTGGATATAACATATACAGAGCATCTAGCACTGAGTAGGTGTTCAATAAATGGTATCTAATAATACCAGTTTTTAATGAGTTTTTAAGATAAACAGGACTCCGACTTACACTATCCAGATGTGTGTGTTTCCTTGTTCTGCAGAGTCGCCAGCAGAGATGAACACCCAAGCTGGGTTTTTTTTGTTTTTTTAAAATATATCTTTATTGATCTCAAAGAGAGGAAAGGAGAGAGAGAGAGACAGAAACATCAATGATGAGAGAGGCATTGATTGAGCCTGCAACCAGGCATATGCCCTGACCGGGAACCGAACCTAGATCCCCTGGATCCTAGGCCGACGCTCAACCGCTGAGCCACGCCTGGCGGGCCCAAGCTGTTTGAATCTTCTTTGCCCAGTTCTAGGTGCTCTTGGTCTGCCAGATTCTGACAGCTAAATAAATTAGTCTCTGTGTTTACAGGAGATATAAAGCTCTAAGTACCTAGTGAAATATTAGTTAAAACCTGCATAGCATTTTATTAATGTCAGCTTCTTTTTTAAGAAAGGTTAATTGAATGGAAATTAGGCTTCCATTGTATATTCTTAAAGTAAAATATGAATGCATTCTTTCTTCAGGCATTTTAAATTATACTTGACATCAAGTACTGAACGCTTTTCCCAAAATTTCAAAGTTGTGGTGGTGGATGGTAAAAACGAGAGCGAGTACAGTGTCAAGTGGCAAGACTTCTTTAGCGGACACGTGGTCGGTGAGTATGGAGCTTGTCTGCCTGCCTGTGTCTAGGGGGCTCGCTGTCCAGATCCCACTTGACTGCATACCCATTTCTGGGGGGAGGGAGAAGAGCTACCAGAGAACTGCTGTTCCTTCTTTTCCTTGAGCTATCTGTTTGGAAGCCGCAGCATTCAGCCAGGAGGATATGGGTATCGCCAGCATGTCGTGCCAGCTGGCTGCTTTGATGATCAAAATGGATTTCCTCTCGGTGATAAGAATTTAACCTTCTCTTTTCTTCAGAGAAGCGTTGTATACTACCCTTGTGAGGTTTTAAACAGGGAAGCTAGGAGATAAAATAATTGGCTGTTTGATCCTGTTATGTATTTATTGAAGAAAATGTATCCAACTAGCAGGTGTGGTTTACTTCTGGAACTTTTTTTACAATAAGAAAAAATGGCATTAAAATGGTCAAATAGTCTAGTTCAAGACCTCTGTGTTCCAGAGTATGTTTTCTGCTTCCTCTTAGTTCTTTCTTACCCCAAAGTAGGCAGAGTTATTCCAGAAGGAAATGTACACCTTGTTTTGTTCTGTAATAGACTCTAGATCGTTCTCATAAGAAGCTGGAGGCAGAGAGATTACTGAAATAGAGGCTCCTGCTGAGGAGGGGAGTCTCTCACTGCTTGAGGCTTTTTTCATAGTGGGGGTCTACAGCCTCTGGGCACATGCACTCTGATGAAGGGCTTCGTTGAGTGTTGGTGGCAGTAGGGCATAGTTTATTTTTTGATACAAATATTTCTAATAATGAATTTTTTTTTTTCTTAAGGTGAGCCTGCCTCTAGGGTTCTAGCCCATATAGGCGATGATGATATTACAGTAAGGATCAACACGGATGGGGCAGAGTATAACATAGAGGTAAATCTGTACGCGAGCTCTTTCTTATTAGCGTATGTGTATTTTCACATTTCTGTATTTATTACATTTATTAGAGTAACATTGGTAATGACATAAATTTCAGGAGTACTACATAATAATAATACGACACCTGTGTACTCGCCTCAAGAACAGAAACCTCAGCTGCCTCTCGTTGCTACATGTCCATCCCCTAGAGCAGTGCCAGCACAGTCGGTGCTGACAAATCAGGGATGGGAAAGGATGTGCATTTTCTCTTCTGGGTCTTCTAGAAGATTTCATAACTTGCGCAAAATAATGCTCTTTTCATATACAGATAAATCAAAGGGTGAATAATCTGTATATTATCAGCATAGACACTCTGATAAAAATTGAAAAGGTGTATTTTCGATAAAATGATTAGTCACTTTACTTAGCCTGGAAACAAAGATTATCTAAAAACAAGGAAAGGATGTAAGAATTTAATATTTAGGAATTTTTATGTTTTTCATCTCAATTATATTTTTTCCATTTTAGCCACTTTGGAGACTAATTAATGATACTACAGACAAAAGAATGTTAGTTTATAAATCTGAAGACATCAAGAATGTTTCACGCTTGCATTCTTCAAAAGTGTGTGGTTACATAAAAGCGGAAAATGAAGATTTGTTTCCAGAAGGGCTGGTAGACAGAGAGCCCCCTGATGGTAAGTATATTTCAGATAGGAAACAAGCATTACGGCTGTCTTCAGTAGGGGTGGTTGTTAATTGATTTAAAAAACAAAACAAAACATGTTTGTCAAGTAACTAGTTTTTGGCTTGAAAATAGTTTTGTTCAGAAATTTTTATGTTAATTCTTTTGCCTATAATGTAAAGAATGAAAACACTAGAAAACAATAGTAACAATAAAGGCTGGACTTAAGAAAAGATTGCGGAAAGGGGAGTTAAATAATCTGAGGGCAACTAATTTTTTATTTGCAAGTATTTGAAAATGATAATACTGTTGTAAGATCATCTTTAGATAAGTTTATAAGAAATTAGTTGGTTGCAAGGGAGGTCTCTAATGTTTAGAAAGAAGAAGCTTATCAGTTTGGGCCAGATTCATTTAGAGTTGTTTGAAAACAAACACTTTGGGGAAATAGTCTACTGTCCTCATTGTTAAAATCCTTGGAAAATATTACAGCATTTAAGTATATAAATAAATTCTTAAGTAATTTGGTTATTTGATAAGAAAACCTATTAACACAAACTAATTTTTAATGTTTGCTTACCTTGATATTTTTGCCATTGCTTTGGTTAATTCGCGGATTTCTAGAATAGAGTGAGAGCTTCATAGCGGAGAAATAAATAGGTGATCACTTTTCTTTTAAGTACTTTTTAAAGTTGCTTCATTTTAAAAGTTACAGAGCCCAGCCAGGCGTGGCTCAGTGGTTGAGCATTGACCTAGGATCCAGGAGATCGAGGTTCAATTCCTAGTCAGGGCACATGCCTGAGTTGCGGGCTGAATCCCTAGTTGGGGGCGTGCAGGAGGCAGCTGATCAAGCTCTCTCATCATTGATGTTTCTATCTCACTCTTTCCCCCTTCCTTCCTCTCTAAAATCAATAAAAATATATTTTTTAAAAATAAAAATTATAGAGACACTTTCTTGGTTTTGAATTCTACAATTTTAAAACCTCATGTTACTTTTCACTTTTCTGTCTTCAAATTGTTGTTGTTTTTTGTTCAAGATACCTGTAAGGAAACTAAATTTAAGTAATGTTTGTTTCAAGAATATGCTAGATTTAAAGTGTTACTATAAAAAACTCCTTGTTTTGATGAATTTTAATTTAATAGTGCGTACAAATTCATATTAGAGCTTGTTCATCGGGTGAGGAGAAGAGCCGACCCCAATCCCATGAAGAACACGTGTAAATTACTGGTGGTGGCAGATCATCGCTTTTACAAGTACATGGGCAGAGGGGAAGAGAGTACCACTACAAATTACTTAGTAAGTATTTGGTACTGGGGAATGATTGGACAAAAACACTCAGCATAGGTAGACAAATTTCATTTAAGAGAGGACTGCTGTAATTTGAAAATTGAAACCGGATGTTTCAGGTGCTGTATTATTGCATAAAATATTTGAGATTCTTACATTACTGCATAGAGATTCTAGTTTCAGGTTTTTTAAAACCTATTTTACCTTTGAACTATTATTTTCTGCACATTAGAATTTTTAAGCATATTAGGTTTTGGGAGAGTTCGTTACATAGAGCTCTCTTTATACAAGTGAATTCTTTGAAAACATTACTGCTATAATGGCAGTGATCTTATTGGTGACATGAATGTTGCTCTAGAGTAGAGAAAGTACTTGTATGAACCTGTGTGTTTTATTTTTGCTTATATGCATATTTCAGAGAAGAGGGTCAGTTTGGTTTGTGTCATAAAATAGCTAATTGTTGGAGTATCTGCATTTAGATGGGATTTTCATGGTCATAACCAACTGTAGGGCTAAGATGTGAAGGGATGATTACAGATGTATTGACACTGAATTTTTAAGCATTTACTGTGCAATGTGAAAAGTCAAGGGAGTCAGAATTTCATTGACCTTTTTTATTAGTATGACCTCATTTGTCATGATAACTTGGCACTGACAGAAATGTTGTTTAGGAAATAAGAGAATGCAGCTATTCATGAACCGAGAGCCTGGTGCAGTAAAGATGTCTTTCTCTTTGCCTCGCTCTTCCCATTCTCTCTCATACCCTCCTCGCCCTGCTCCCTTCCCTTCCATGTGAAGTGAAAGAATCCATTGTGAAGTTAACAGGCGCAGTGTGTGAAGTCATTGTAATTCTCGCTCCTACGTAAGAGAGCTCTTTCTTGAAAAAGTTTCTTAGTAGGGCTTTGTATTAAGGGGCTCCTCTTAATTTACTTCTTTGTTCATTATACCAAGAATATGAATATAATGAGAGGTTTAGTCTTAAAATTTGCATTTCTTAGTCTTACAGTTACTATAAGCAAAGAACAATTTCCTACCTATAACGTGCTTCACAGTTGCCTGAACAAACCTCATCTACCCAGTTTTGAACAATAAAAAATTCTCTGTGAGAAGATAGGTAATGAGTGTGTGTTATTATGTGGTGTGAACCGTCCTTGGCTGTCACTGTCTACCTACCTCACCCCCTTCCCAAGTGAGCTAGCAGAAGAAAGGAGGGTGGTAAAACCCTGTTTTTCTGGCTTGTACTCTTCCTGGTCCTCGGTGCTGAATTCTGCCCTGTGAGGGTTGGGGAATGGGCGTAGCAGTCCCAGACACTTCTTTCTGAGGAAGGTGTTTGAGGAACCTGCCATGAGACAGAGTGAAGACAGTACTTCTTAGAAGAGAATATTTTAGGTAAATTGATTGACTGTTCTCATTTTTGTAGCTGACTGGAATGGCAGTTATTTTTAAAAAGCCTGTTACTTGGTATTTTGGTTCCATATACAGTTGGTTACTTGGGTTTGTAATAAGGGGTACCGCTGTTTTACTCTGGTAATATCACTTTATTTGGGGCTAGGAATAACTTCCTTGTTGGCACTGTCAGCGATAAGGAGTAACATCTTTATGTTAGTTTTTGTAATTGGTAGAAACTTTACAATGGCATTTTCTCTAAACTGATGTTTTTTCTCCCTGCAGAATTTATTACATTGCAAGTAGTAAAAATATACATAATCTCTCTCTCTCTCTTTTATACACACAGATAGAGCTAATTGACAGAGTGGATGACATCTATCGGAATACTTCATGGGACAACGCAGGTTTTAAAGGTTATGGAATACAGATAGAGCAGGTATTTATCAATGGATATGGCTTACATTACTCAGCTAAGTTATATAATACACATATTTGTTACTTACATTCATACCCCAAAACTTATTTTCAAATGTAATCATAAATATTCTCAAATGCTAGTAATTCTCACCTGGTAAATTATACAGTGTTTTTGATACTATTTCTAGATTATGGAGTTTTCTGTTCCTAAGCTTGTTTTAGGCAGAAAGCCTTTTTTGCTGCTGCGATCTTTCCTTTCTCTGAATTCATGGCCTTTTTATTCCCTTCCTTGTTTTTCTTTTTTTAAAATATGTTTTTTTAATCGATTGTAGAGAGAGGAAGGGAGAGAGAAACATTGATCGGCTGCCTCCACATGCCCCCTCCTGGGGATCCAGGCCCTCAACCCGGGCATGTGCTCTGACCAGGTATCAAACCTCTGATCTTTTGGTACATGGGACGGTGCTCAACCAACAGAGCCACAGCAGCCAGGGGCCCTGCCTCGTTTCCTTTGTCTTTGATTATGCCTTTTGTCTTTAGTTAGAATCCTCGCACATGGTGTTGAATCCTTAGTCAGAAAAGTTGCTCAGAACTACTGCAAGGCATTATACATACAGAACCATTAGATCTCTTTTCCCCTAAATCTCCTGATTTCTTATATTCTGTTAATAGAGTATGTCCAGCCACAATGTGTCAATGTCATCTTAATATCTCATAGTAAAAATTGTTCCAAATTGGTGACTGATTAAAAAGACTGTTCTGGAATTGGTTATTGCTTTGGACAGAATCTCTGATATGGAAATTATTGTTTCTATTTTTTCTAGGCTCTTTGTACCAAATTAACCATATTCTTATAGGTTCTATAGATAGAATTTAGAGATTAAAAACAAATTTGAAATTATACATCATTTTTATAAATGTTAAACTTCTATAGTACTTGCATAAAACTAAGATAATTATTTTTCCCTTTTCCATTTTTTTACTTGCATTTTCTTTTTTTAAGTTATTATTTGAATAGGTAACATATACACACGATACAAAAACCAGTGAAAAGTAAGTCTCCTCATCTCTGCCCGTCGTCAAATCAGTTTCCTCCCCCAGAGACATCCATGTCACTAGCTTCATGTGTATTTTCCCAGAGGCCTTGTGCATGTATAGCATGTGTGTCTCTGACACAGTGGTGGTGTGCCGTGCTCTGTAGATTGTGCTGCTTCATTTCATGAATATGTCGGTGATTATCCCACTGGTTCATATCAAGCTGCCTCACTTGTTTAAACAGTTGTAACTTGTTTAGTTTTAGGGGGCCAGTAAATAAAGGTCTTTGTTGCTTTAGAACTTGGAACCGGGTGAAAAAATAGGTGTGATATAGGAGATAAAAATATCAGCTTTTTTTTAATCCTCCGCCGAGGATTTTATTTTTTCAATTGCTTTTCAGATAGAATGGAATGGGGAGAGAGAAACGTCGAGATGAGAGACACACATCGATTGGTTGCCTGCCACACAGGCCTCAGCCAGGGCTAGGGATTGAGCCTTCGCCGGAATTGAACCCGGGACCCTTCAGTCTGAGGGCCAGTGCTCTAACCACAGAGCCAGACCGGTCAGGGCAAATATCAGCTTCTTTAATGATGACAGATGGATTGGAAGTTGTGGTTTAGATGGGCAGTCACTGTGGGTTTCTTGTTTCATCCCAGAACTGACCTTGACCACCCACCACCAGAACTGCAAGGCCCACCCCAGTGAGCACACCACGTGGTGCAGAGCAGACCAGAGCATGCCCTCCACAGGCAGACAGAGCAGGAGACGCCAGAATGACCGTGCGGAGCATGCCTTTGTTCCTTGCTTTGTTTTAAGCAGGATTAATATGTGTGTGTACTACATGCACAAGGAATAGCCCCTGTTCTTCATCTTTTACTCCTGTGGTAGCTGGTGGTGCACATCCTGTTGACCTGCATCTCTGCATCATTAACTGTAGTTAAAATAAGTATGTTAGGCTAATGCAGCCTAAATTTTTTTTTTTCCCAACTAAATTGAGAAAATGAAAATTTGGAGTACTTCTATAAATTTATAAATCATTTATTGACAGGTTTTCCATATCATATGCTTCTCATTGTTTTTAAACATTGAATATTTAGAGCTGAAGAATTTCATGGATTCTGGTTCCATAACATATTTTTTCTAGAATCATAGTCTTTTTTTGAATGTCTGAACAAAGTAGTATTCAGAGTTTGTGATTTTTTTTCTGAAGTGTTCTAAGTATGTTATCTCTTTAAGTATAGATTCGCATTCTCAAGTCTCCACAAGAAGTAAAACCAGGTGAAAGGCACTATAACATGGCAAAAAGTTTTCCAAATGAAGAAAAGGATGCTTGGGATGTGAAGATGTTGCTTGAGGTACGTTGAGGAACCCTGGACGTGATTTCTCGGGGAGGTCGTGTCTGCATGATGAAGGGGCATGCTAGGAGAGGTGCTTGGAACAAGGAGCGGCCCATGCGGCTGATCCGGCCATCACCTTGTCCCTGCAGCAGGGCCACCAGCAAGAGGGGCAAAAAGCTGTGCGAGTGAGAAGTGCTCCAGAGCAGTGCTGCTCATCCCTGGTATCTGTGAGGATCCAGTGAAGAAAACTGGCGGATACCCAGGGTATAAATTTTTTGTACCATTTTGTTTGTTCAGGTCTTTCTGAACTTTTCAATGAGTCTCTTAGGTCAGTAATGATCAAACGATATGGAAATGAATTAGGCAGTAGATTTATAACTCAGAGATCTGGACGTTCTGTTCAAGAATGTTAAGTTTTTGTGTTTTTATCCTGGTGATTTAAAGTAGTCAACCTAAACACTGCCATATGGATTCTTGCCTCACAGGATATGATCTCTCCCGTCTGCCACATGATTTCAGTGTCTGAATTTGTGTATCCTCTTGCTTTGTAAAATGACCTCCTATGAAATGATATGTTTATCTTTCAATAGGTTGGTAGTATATTCGTTTCCTCTTGGTGCTCTAACAAATTACCACAAATTTATCAGCTTAAAACAACACTTTATTTGTTTTCATGGGTTAGTCCAGGCACAGTGTAGTTCATCTGAATTCCCTTGTGCAAGTCTCACAAGGCCGAAGTCCAGTTTTCAAAGCTTGAATAGAATTACAGAATATTATCAGCTCTATCCAGGTTGAGGTCCTTAGGGTGTTCTATTGTATAGTGCACCGACATACCTTGTCTAATTTGACCCACTAGCTCCCCCGAGAGGTAAGTTGAAATAGCACCATTACTCTTCTAAAGAGATTCAGCAAGGTCCTAGTCTGTTAGGACTGCCAGTAACAAAGTATATGACAGACATTAAATTTTCTCATAGTTTTGGAGTCTGGAAGTCAGATCAAGGTGTCAGCTGGGTGTTTTTTTCCTGAGGTCTCTTTGGCTTGTAGACGGCCGTCTTCTCCTGGCTGCCTCCTGCATGCCTCCCACTGGGGTCTGAGCCCTGACTGGGAATCAAACCGGCGACCTCTTGGTTCCTGGGTCAGTGCTCAACCGCTGAGCCACACCGTCTGGGTCCCAGTCTCCTTTTATAAGGGCACCAGTCAGATTGAATTAGGCCCACCCATATGACCTCATTTTACCTTAACCTACTTCTTTAAAGGCCCCATCTCCAAATACAATGACATTCTGAGGTACTGATGGTTAAGACTTCAACATAAGAATTTTGGGGGTCATAGTTGAGCCTGCAACAGCAAGGTTAAAGGACTTGTTTATGGATAATTATATAACTATTAATGACAGTCAGAATGGAGTGCCAGACATCCTGACTGCTAGGCCAGCTGACCCATTGCACCTGTCTGCTTTTCTGTTTGTGTCAGGGGCAACAAAAGGGGGAAACTCTTGACTCTACAAATGCTCCTCCAGTTCTCTCTCCGACGCCTAGTAGATTCTCAGAATCCTCACCCTGTTACCACAGAATTGTCAAAATCCCAGGGTGGCATCTCCTGGGAACACCTATTCCTCATACAGGGCTTTCCTGCTTCTCATTGTATTGATTAATTATTGATTGATTGATTGATGAAAGAGAGATGTATGTATTCATTGGTTGATTCTTGTATATGCCCTGGCATGGGATCGAACCCACAGCCTTGGTGTATCGGGACAGTGCTCTAACCAACTGAGCTACCTGGCCAAGGACCCTGCTGCTCATTTTAAGCATTTTAAAAATCAGGGTCTTTTTCAGTTGGAGATATGGGTTGTTATAGTGGAGGTTTTTGAAGTAATATATGGAGCCCTTTTAAGGAAAAAAAATTGGTACCATAGCACCAGTGCTGAGTTAAGTGGATTTTAATCTTAAGTTCAGTAACATAAAACTAAGTATATATGCTTTCCTATACGTTTATATTTATAACTCCTGTACATTGTAAAACCAAAGCAAAGCAGGTAGGTGAGCAAGAGCTGTGGATGAGGAACATTGCCCACACTATTTGGTGCTTACCTGCATTCATATGGTATGTTCTGGAATATATGGTTGAAACAGCTTTCGATATGTCATTGTTAATCTAATTAAGAACTCTTCTTCTTAAAAGCAATTTAGCTTTGATATAGCTGAAGAAGCATCTAGAGTCTGCCTAGCACATCTTTTCACCTACCAGGATTTTGAGATGGGAACTCTCGGACTGGCTTACGTTGGTTCACCCAGAGCAAACAGCCACGGAGGCGTTTGTCCAAAAGGTAAGTTTCCCATTTGTTGTGTGACTGGGACTAGCAGGCTGGTTAGCATATGTTGAAATTCTGCACTGAACAAGCAATTTGTTTCCCCTCTCCTTTAGCTTATTATAGTCCAAATGGAAAGAAAAATATCTATCTGAACAGTGGTTTGACCAGCACAAAAAATTATGGTAAAACCATTCTTACAAAGGTATGTTCTTTTATTTTTTAAAAGGATAGATTTTTAGTTTTTTATAGTTACTGTATATTTATGTAAGTATCTTCTAAAAGAGTAATACATACTGGTGGGTTTATTTTTTTCTGCCTCAAGAAACACGTTCTTTGGTGAGAAACATGAAAATAAAAGGTATAAAGAAGCCCAGCTGGGCGTGGCTCAGTGGTTGAGCATCGACCTAGGATCCAGGAGATAGGGGTTCGATTCCTGGTCAGGGCACATGCCCGGGTTGTGGGCTAGGCAGCCGATCAGTGACTCTCATCATTGATGTTTCTCTCTCTCTCCCCCTCCTTTCCTCTCTCTGAAATCAATAAAGATATATTAAAAAAAAAAAGATATAAAGAAGAAAATAAAAGTTACCAGTCAGACTTTTTCAAGACCCATCTGGGTCATTGTTTTTCTGTAAGAGGTGCCCTCCCAGAGCCCTTCATCCTGCCTCTGCTCTGTGGGTACTTTTTTCCTGGCCCTGCAGTGTAGCTGCTCTCTGAAGACACCCAGACTCTCATTTGCTGGGCCCATGTTCCTCCTCTTCCTGATTTAAACCCTCATTTTGGTATAAATCCTCTAGGAGCTTCCTAAGAAAGGTGTCCTGAAGGCACACTCTTGAGATTTGCATATCCAAAAATGTCTTTACCCTCCTCTTAGACTTTTGTTTTTTAATATATCCTTTTTGATTTCGGAGAGAGAGAGAGAGAAACATAATGATGAGAGTCATTGATCGGCTGCCTCCTGCACACCCCTTGCTGGGGATCCAGCCTGCAGCCCGGGCATGTGCCCTGACCGGGCATCGAACTGTGACCTCCTGGATCCTAGGTGGATGCTCAGTGGACACTTAGCCACTGAGCAACGTGGGCTGGGCTCCGTTGAAACTTGGTCATTGAGCTGGTGCATCCCCAGCGCTCTCCCAGTGGGAGGGCATTGCTCCACTCTCCTTTAGGGCTTCATGTTCTGTAGTCTGGAGTCATTCCATTTTCATGCTTTGTATGTGACCTGTTTTTCCCCCCTGGAAGATGTTAGAATCTTGTTTTTGCCCAGATATATCCATTAGGAATGTGTTGGACATATTCCAGAAAGTCCACATAACGGAAAATCCAGTAAACAGTGATTTAAGTAAGGGGTGTATTGGCTTGAGTCAAGAAGTTCATGGACAGTGTCCCATGGGGCTCCAGCAGCTCAGATGCTCTGGGGTCCAGCGTCATCCCCACTGTTGCTCAGCCATTGGAAGCACAAGGCCTTTGTCCTCATGTTGTCACCTCGTGGTTCCTTCTGTGCTGTAGAAAGGACGACAAAGAGCGTAGTCTGTCCAGTTTTCAAAGCTGGTCTGGAAGCCCCACCCATCCGCTGGTTGGTGTGAGAGTGTGCAGCGGGCCGAGCAGAGCTGGGTCTCGTGGCTGTCCAAACCCTCAAGGGAATGTGGGAAGGTGGCTATTTTAGCAGAGTCCATTGTGTCCTGAGCAGAGTTAAGGATTCTTTCAGGATCCGATTAATCAACACCCTATTTAAGACAGCAGGGCCCACTGGCTGAAGCTGGTGCAGGTTGGGTACTGGGAAGTAATGTTTTCTTCGCATGATCTTTAAGGAAGCTGACCTGGTTACTACTCATGAATTGGGGCACAATTTTGGAGCAGAACATGATCCAGATGGTCTAGCAGAATGTGCCCCAAATGAGGACCAGGGAGGAAAATTCGTGATGTATCCCATAGCTGTGAGTGGAGATCACGAGAACAATAAGGTATGTATCTTGTGGAACTTCCTGACGTGGCTAGGAGAGAGAGCGGCTATTTAATTACAACGAGAGCTCAGAACAGGTCCATTTGAGGGGTGGACTGCAAATGACAAAGAACTATGAAACTTGGCTGTGTGTTTGGAGTGAAATGTGTTCCATCTAAATCTGGTTAAAGCTTTTGTTTGGGCTGTTTGTTACCAAGATTAATCATGTAGATTTGAGCTATAGGGAAAATTAGCAATAGTTTAGGCTTGTATTAGAGTTCGAGGTTGCAGGGTCTGGTGGGCTTAGGCTTTAAGTTAAAACTTCCTATCATTTCATTTAAACTTGTTCATTTAAACTCTATAGTACTTCACAATTTGCATGTTTTCATAAACTGTTGCAACAAAATACTTAATTTGCCAGACTCTAAGTCTCCTGTGGGAAGGGCCCTTGTCTTCTTCATGGCTCTGTCTCCAGTGTCTGGTGGGGGTACATGGCACATAGTAACTGTGTATCGAGTACATACATGAACAATTCACCAGTGAGGGTTTCTGATAGAGCACATGAGTTGACTCTTGAGATATTGTCAACAATTTCAGAGACTTTAAGAGTGTTCATAGGTTTCTGGTCCTGTCATTGTACCTGGAGCTAAACAGCAACATCAGTGTGAGGAAAGCATACTGCTCTTGTTGCTGAGTTAGGGCTGGGGAGGGGCTAAGAGAGTCGTCTCTAATCAGGAAAGATGCTTAAGTATTTGTCCTGGCTTCTCTTTGGAGCCAGGCCCTTTATATATCTTTACTATAACAATTAATTAGAAGATCCTTAAAAAATGTCCAGTTTGTATTTCTGTATCAGGTGATGGCTCTTAGATAGCTTTCTGACAGTGTTCCTTTTGTTGGATTCAGTGGTCACTATCACCTTTGGAGATTCCTGTGCTCGCCACTCCTCAGGGGCTCTGTGGCTCTTGTCTGGGGTGAAAGTGAAGCTATTTTAGCAATTTGCAGAGAACTGTGGAGACCCCACCTCAAATAAGTATACTGAGTTTTCCCCAGGTCTCTACCTCTTTCCTTCATCATGTCAAATGGTTTGGAAAATGGACTCTGTTTTAGAGCTCCTGGTCAAACGTCCCAGATTTAGAGGGGAAGCTAGGGTAGACGCTCCTTTTGAGGCACTGGTCACCTTAGAAAACTCAGACTGTTAAAACCTTGGGGACCCATGAAAATGTTTAGGTAACAGTTTGGAATTTAATCTTTCAATAGACTACATGTAATACTGAGCCTCTTAGGAAGGTTAACTACCTAAAGATTTTAAACATGGATCATTCATACCAATAGCCAGGGAAAGAAGAGGAAGAAAACTGGAAACCGACCATTTGCACGCCTGAATGTTTTGTCTAGGAAGACGATGGTCTGTGTCTAGTTCTCACTGTCACGGGCATGGTGGTGCCATGCCCGAGGATGGGGTGGCTTATGGTCTGGTGGAGCTCACGACTCTCCCCTTGTGCCAGGCTGCTCATCCTCTGGATGGACTGGCTGGGGGTATAGCTTTTTAGCATTTTACAGAGGGAGATAACTCAGTTCCATATACAGGCATTTAGGGGTGATAGTGATGACCTTGGTCTACTTCAGGAGGCTCTGATTATGACTTTCACATTCAGAGTTTAGAGAAGTGATGCAAACGTGGGAATGAATTTTTATGTTATTTTGGGTCCTTTGTGGCCTTTTTTCTCTTAAGATGTTTTCAAACTGCAGTAAGCAGTCCATCTATAAGACCATTGAAAGTAAGGCCCAGGAGTGTTTCCAAGAACGCAGCAACAAAGTGTGTGGGAACTCCAGGGTGGACGAAGGAGAGGAGTGTGACCCTGGCATCATGTACCTGAACAATGACACCTGCTGCCACAACAACTGCACGTTGAAGCAGGGTGTCCAGTGCAGGTGGGACATCTGCCCTGGGGGGCAGGGGCTGGGGTGCGGGGTGCCAGGTCATGGCAGATTGAAAATGCAGGGGCTTTGGAATCGATCAGAGGTCGTGTGTGTGTGTGTGTGTGTGTGTGTGTGTGTGTGTTTCCCCCTTTGCTCTTTACAGCAAGAAAAGTGCTTCCTTGAAGCAGTTTGACATATATAACGGATCCCTAATCTCACACCCTCTGCTATAGAGCAGTCCCCCAGGTCAAAGACTTCTCTCAGGAAACATGTAAAGGAAGATGATTGATAATTAACAAGGATGCTCATGGCTACATTCTTTTATAACAGCAAAGTACTGGAAACAACCAAAATGACAGTCCTGGGACATAAATGAATTTTTTTGTGTCTATACAATAGTTTAATGTCATACCTTTTAATGGCATAAACTAAATGTGGAGGAAGCAGGTTACAAGTTAGAAAGTACCTATATTTCCATTTTTATGTCCACTGAGAGCCTAGCGCCTGCCTTAGAAGTAGAGGCAAAGCTTTAGTTTATGGGGACTAACAGATTCGACTGCCTCCAGTGCATATTAACGTTGTAAATACTCATAGGGAGTAGGGCTCGGGCTGCCTCGTTTCTTGACCGTTGATTGCCTTGCCAGGCCTGTGTTTTTTCTTTTAATTACTATATTAAGTATATTAAGCGAATGAAAACCAAGGACAACACCACGTTTTAAAGACGAGTCACTTTGGACCAGCCTGCACCTATTCTCTGCATTGCTGCTGCCGGGTTCCACATAGGACGGCAGACAGAGTGCTTGCAGGTGGTGCCCGCCCTGGCGAGTCAGTTATGCAGGAGTGGGTGACCCTGCCAGACCTTCCCTTCCCCTGGGATCGAGCTTCAGGGCCCTGTAACATGACTAGTGTCACTGTGGGCTCTCCTTTGACTGAACTGCCCTGTCTGCTCTTCTGCAGTGATAGGAATAGTCCTTGCTGTAAAAACTGTCAGTTTGAGACCGCCCAGAAGAAGTGCCAAGAGGCCATTAACGCTACTTGCAAAGGCGTGTCTTACTGCACAGGTATGTCCTCCTGATGGTTCTCTTGGAAAACTGCCGAAGTGGGGATGTGTGTGTTTGGAAAACAGGATTGTTTCCTTTGTATGCAAACAACCCTTTTTTCACCTCCTATGTGGAGCTGAGTTGATTATGCTCCTTAGTTCGTGGCACACTTGTCAGTGGTCTGAGCAGACCCGTTATGTTTCTTACGCTTTATTTCTCTCACTTCATTCTCCTCCCTCTCTGAGGCATCCTTCTAACATGTTTAAAGTTTGTTTGGATATGTGTATATACTTGAAACACAATGTACTGTTTTGTGTCTATGTTTTTAACATGCCAAAATGATACTCTACTGTAGATGTTTTTGGTGCTTCCAGGTAACAGCAGTGAGTGCCCCCCGCCCGGGAACGCCGAGGATGACACAGTGTGCTTGGACCTGGGCAAGTGCAAAGACGGGAAGTGCGTGCCCTTCTGCGAGAGGGAGCAGCAGCTGGAGTCCTGTGCATGCAACGGTGAGCATGTGTCCCCGCCATGGCCTTGCTGCGGGGAGGAGAAGGTAGCCTGTGTCTGCCCAGCCACATCCCTCACCTGGGGGCCCAGCAGTGTCAGCCGCTCACTGCTGCTGAGGACAGGGTGAGAGCCCAGTGCAGTCATGGGGTGCAGGGTGGTATGTGGAAACAGACAGATTCTGGATTCAGATCCTGGCTCCTCCACCTTATCTGTGAAAACCGTCCTGTTGTTCACCCTTCTTGCCACATTTTCAGACCATGTGGCCAGTGTGGGTTAGGGTAGGAGGGAATTTTGTGGGTGATGTCTGGGTGGAGGTATGTTTTCGCTTCTCCTTCCCTGTATCATACACACCATGAAAGCAGCAGGAGCTATGTCCCATTGGCATTAGACTGTGATGCTCCTTCAAGAGAGAGCTGATTCCGGGACTGGCCATTGATCAGGATGCTTGCCCCTGCCGGGCTGGCCTGCTGCCCTTTGCTCCCTGCCAGATGCCTTGGGCCAGGGGCCTCTTTGGTGATGTGATGGTTGGCGACATCATGCTAGGCTGTCAGGGACTTGTCCTCAGGTTTCCATGTTATTTTTGGAGCCCCTGGGTCTGAGGAGGGGCCTCAGGGACTGACTGGGCTCTGAGCTTCCTGCCCCACCCCAGAGAGAGTTCTCTTGATTTCAAAACAACGAACCCAGAAATCACAACCAGGGAACTCAGCATCCGTACAGCAGAGTCAGTGGTCTTCTTGGTGGAATAACGTGTAAAAGAAGATAACACAGGAGATGCCAAGTAAATGCTACTGAGTGAGTGGCACAGGGCTTAGGGTGCCCAGCAGGACACAGTAAAGGCCCTGGAAACGTGATGAACGAATGGCAGGTCTCCTTTCCCTTCCCAGTAGTTTTTCCTGTTTTCAGTGTCCTGATTGATCTCGGTGACTGTAAATGCTGACTTGCCCCGGGGTGAAGTGTGTCCCAACTCACTGCCAGCTGACTTGCTGGGCATTTCTGCTGTTCAAATGGGTGCCAGCGGCTTATCTGATGTTCTGTTGTTCCTGTCCCCACATGCTCTCAGAGGCTGGCCTCTGTGGAGGGAGTCACGCACAGGCCCCCCGTGCTCCTGTCACATGGGTCACTCAGAGCCGCACCTGCAAGGTGGCAGCTCTGTTCCAGCTCTGTCTAGCTGGAGCCCTGGCCTCCTAGGGTGTCCTTGACATGAGAAGCCAGGGGTTGTAGGCAGCAGTGTAATAACGTTGGGACGAAGGGAAGCATTTTGCATTATAAAATAGAGACTAATTTGATTTTTACTCATTTGGGAAAACTTTCCTGTGTAACTTTTTTTCTTTGTGGCCTCCACTCAGGACTGAGGAGCGTGAACTCAGAAGTTATTCCTTGAGGGGTAGAATATGGATAGGATTAGCTTTTGAAATAAAAACCAAGTGCTTTGCTTCCTCCTCGAGGGCATGGGAGCAGGGAGAGCAGGGAAGGAGAGCCACAGGTCTAAGAAAACTCAGCTGTCGGCCTATTGGTTTCAGAGACGGATAACTCGTGCAAGGTGTGCTGCAGGGACGCCGAGGGCCGCTGCGTGCCCTACGTCGACGCTGAGCAGAAGAACTTGTTTTTGAGGAAAGGGAAGCCCTGTACAGTGGGGTTTTGTGACATGAATGTGAGTATTTATGTATAGTTTTCTGTACCAGCCACGTGGGAAGTTTTTTTATTGTTAGTACTCGATTTTGCAAATGGAAGGAAACCAAAACACAGGTGGTGCCATGTCCTTCTCCCCCACCGCTCGATCTTGTGAGTCTGTACAGTGAAGTAAGTGTGTGCACAACCTATGAGCAAAGGCTAGGCGCTCTCAGGAACTCAGGCACTCTCTCCAGAGCGGGGACCCTGAGTCCAGAGACTGGGCAGGTCTTGGGGGGGTGGGGGCTTTGGCAAAGTTGGTTGGTTTGGGGCAGTGGATGCTGATTACTTGGTTTTCTCAGTTAGTTATAAAATTGATAATATTGCAAAAATGAAGGTTTGATTTTTGAAACAGGTGCTGAACGAATAGGAAAGATCTAGAAGCAGCTTGACCCACCCAAGTCAGACCCTTTGTTCTCTAGAGACATAATTTTATTTGTGCAAAACAAGGACAGAAGTTAGTGTTCAAGAGCTTCTCCAGGCCGCAGGTTGTGTTCCATGGGGGTGCGATCAGTCTTGTCCTCACTGGAACGCTCATCTTTAACACACTGGTGTTCTCGAGCTTTGTCTCCGGGTGATTCTAAATTAATTCACTTACAGAAACTGACTGGCTGTCAAGTGTCAGTGGTGGCTTACCTTCCATTCTTATACTCACTACACTCAAATTAGTGCCTGCGCAGAGAAGAGCCCAGCTGTTTGACTTCATGAAGCCTTTCACGTGTTAGTTACTTTTGTAAAGTCACATTGCTTCTAAGTGCATTTCTTTTAGGGATAATGCTTTGTTTTCTGTTCATAGGGCAAATGTGAGAAACGAGTGCAGGATGTCATCGAGCGATTTTGGGACTTCATTGATCAGCTGAGCATCAATACTTTCAGTAGGTGGTTCCCCTGGGGGTTGTCTGCTTAGATCTGAGCTGGTTTCTGCAGTGATATTTGGAAAGTGTGGCTTCAGACTCACATGCTCTAATCCTGCAACAGAAGATGGAAATATTCACCACTTTTGTTTTGAAACAAAGTTGTTTCAAAACCAGTGGACTCATAGGTCCACTGCCCTGTAGTGTGGATGCACAGATCTTTAGACAAGGGAAATCAGTAGTTAGTGAACGTACAATGGTATAAGCATGGTTCAGTCCTACAGACTATAAATCTAAATCCTGTTTGGTGAAAGAATTACTTATTTAAAAAAGGACTTCAGATTTTGCAGAAGCAAGGATGTATTATGTCCTCTAGGGCCCACGATTTAGAGTTTAGTCACAAAAACAGCACTCAGGGCAACAGCACTGTCTTCACAAGCCTTGTTCTATAATGACTCCGTTCCCACCGTTACTCCCGGGATCCTCTACTAATCTATCACCAGGGCTGTTTCTGTAAAGGGGCCTGTGGTGTGGGAGATGGTCAGGTCTCAGGTGGCACAGATGCTCCCTTCTGTACTGAGTCAGCAGTAGCATCCAGCCAGCGGCCTGTGGCATTCGTCGCAGCAGTAATGTTCTCAGAGCATTTAGTTTTAGAGTCGTATTTTGATCATGACACTCTTTGAAATTGTTCACAGGGAAGTTCTTAGCAGACAACATTGTGGGCTCTGTCCTGGTTTTCTCCTTGATGGTTTGGATCCCTTTGAGCATTCTTGTTCATTGTGTGGTAAGTCATCATTTGTAAGTAATGAAATATTTTCTTAAAATTTTGAGCAACTTCAGCCGTATAATCTTTGGGAAAGATAAAATTTGTTCTGAACAAAACCTGGCCTGAAGTTTTGGTGCTATCCCGGGGAAAGCGTGTCTTGCAGAGAGCTTAGCTGATAGTCCCTTAATAGAATTAGCTCTCTGTGTGTGGATATTTTATTCTTGTGCAGAATTTCTAGGGAGTTTTATACTTCTGAGCACAGGAGACTGGTTAGCCGGATTTGGGGCCTCTGATGACTGGAGTGTCTAAACAAGAGTGTTTGCAGGCTGTTATAACAGCAAACATCAAACACCCGCATTCCCAGACCTTGGCGTTACCTACAGGTATCCAAACCCTTCCAGCTAATGAGAGCGAGCAGTCTTTTCATTCTCTTTCAAAGTGAGGAGCAGCCAGCAAGTTGAACTGGGCTTTGTCTGAGGGACTCCAGGCACTTTATTCTTACAGACCATTCCCCTTGCTCCCCTTGGAAGTGAGGCCTGTCTTCTGTGCAATGAGGAAGTCAGACCTAGGCTTCCACTTGCACTGCCCCCATGTGAGCGCCTGGAAGATTCCAGCACACCTGGCTCTCAGGAGTGTTTATGCTGGCTTCTCTTGCCTGGGCCTAGATTTGCCAGCTCAGCCTCCTGCCTGGTGCCCATTGTCATGTGACGTGTCAGCCACAGGCAGGGACATGGGGTCATGGATGGAACCATGTGGTCAGCCTTCTGCAGAAGTAAGATGCAGGTTAGAGGCCCAGTTCTTCAGGAGTTTGGGCCATAGGAACTCTGGAAACAGCTGAGAAGAATATTTAGGCCGTGGAGGGCTGGGTAGTATGAGGCCAGTGCCAGGTGAGAGCACAGGCACAGCCCCCGTAGTGTCCCCCCAGCATCCCTATGACCAGCTTTGCCCTGGCACAGGCAGGGACTGGACACAAACGCAGATGCCCTTGCTGTCCTTCTGCCCCTGGTGGGAAATCACCCAGAAAAAGCACTTAAGCCTTGCCTCACTGAACACCAAAAAGGACCTGTGTCCTTCAGGTGCAAAGGAAACACTTCTAGGATGGTGGCAGGACTTAGAGTTTATGTAACAAACTTATTCTCGTCCACTGAACCTGCAACCACTTTCTCCAACTCAAGTAGTTCTTCAATGTGTGGACTGAGACCTAACTGAACTTTGATTGTGGGAATGACCTTCCTGTTCTTTGCTTTCTAGGATAAGAAGTTGGATAAGCAGTATGAGTCTCTGTCCCTGTCTCACCCCAGCGTAAGTGTGCCGCACGCAAAAAGTAATTTTCAGTTGCACAGTGAGACCCTGCTAAGCAAGGACCTTCAGTTGGCCACCCAGCTGCGCCCTCCTGTGGCTGCTGGAGGTCTGGTTGCAGCAAGAAAGACCTAGGTTGGGTGTAAAGACCTGTGACCTGTACAGCAAGGACCATGGATAGAGATGTGCTGCTTGGCCCCTCCCCATAGCCATAGCCAGGAGTCACTCAGTCAGCACCGACTTAGTTAATATTTTGACACCTTTTTTTGTCTTGAGATCTGAACTTGATAGAGTTAATAAGTTCTCTTTTGGGTCTTCAAATGGTCAGCTGTCGGGCCATTAGAAAGCTAACTTTTTGGGTCATTTGTAAGTTGAAGGCACCTCACGCAGTGCTTTCCTTGGCATGAGGCCGCTGGTTGGGTGAGCTGGAGCCGTAAGACATGCCACTCACCTTTTGCTCCCACGTCTCTCTAGAATGTTGAAATGCTAAGTAGCATGGATTCGGCATCAGTTCGCATCATCAAGCCCTTTCCTGGTCCACAGACCCCAGGCCGCCTGCAGCCCCTGCAGTCCCTGCAGTCGGCCCCCGTGATGCCGTTGGTGCCTACAGCTCCGAAACTGGACCACCAGCGAATGGACACCATCCAGGAAGACCCCAGCACGGACTCGCACATGGAGGAGGACGGCTTTGAGAAGGACCCGTTCCCAAACAGCAGCACAGCCGCCAAGTCGTTTGAGGATCTCACGGACCACCCTGTCACCAGGAGCGAGAAGGCCTCGTCCTTCAAGCTGCAGCGGCAGAATCGCGTTGACAGCAAAGAAACAGAGTGCTAGTCTAGGGGTCGGTGCCCCGAGCTCTTCGACCTCAGTGTGCAAAGTATTTTTATAGATCTGACTTAAAGTGACTCACAGATTTTGTGAAGATCTGGGAGAAACAAGGAAGTGACTTCCAGCAGATGCTGGTCATGTGTTTGGACTTCCTTCGCATACACACTTTGTGGTTAGGCCCTTTCTGTGTGAACAGGTAAGGTGAATCGAGCTTATTTTGAGGCTTTCAGGTTTTAGTTGTTTTTTTTATGTTTAAAATGTCCTTCAACCTGTGGTGCAAAAGCAAAAAATACAGCTGGATTAGGTTATAAGTATTTACGTTTTTGTAAATTGACCTTTTGTATTGATGGCAGCACTGATGAGGCAGATAGCAGTTTTTTCTTTCATGAAGTGTAATGAAAAGGAGGCTGTTAGCAGCTACTTGTGAGGACAACTGGAACACAGAATAATTTATTTTTTTGCCTTCAAGTAAAGACAAAGGAAAAAACCCGAGCTGTGTATTATCTCCAAATGTGGGGTCTGGTTCTAGGTGTTACCCAGAGCTTTTCCAGCAGGGAGAATTACACATCTAACTTCAGGAATAATTTGGGGTAATGTTTCTTCAGAATTCTAAGGTTAGTACTTTCTAGAATTAAAACAACCTAGTTTACAGTACGTGTTAAAATAGTAGGTAGCTGAATTACAGAATCCTGCCAACTGTTTAGGGCCCTAATTTGCTGGGCAGTTTTTCTGTTTTGTAAGGATCTTCATGTATCTCTAATACTGTTGGAATTTCTGGGACATCAGTAGCTGAGCACTGTCCACAGCCCTGAGGACTTTTCCTAAGACTTCTTTAGAGAGGTGGTTCTCTTTGGTCTCCTTGCCCATCTCTCAGCACCAGCCTCCCGCCGCTCTGTTTCTGCCTGCATTAGCTTCAAGAACCGGTAGCCATCTCGGGGGCGGGCCCCAGCTGTGCTGGCTCTGCTGGGAGCTGGAGGGGGTCTCGAGCCAGGGGTCAGGTGGGGGAGTGACTGTTGTCTCCATAGGAGAGGTTGCATTTGATCTGGACAATCTTGGGGGTCTCCTGAGGGCCCACATTGATGTTGGTGGAGTTGGGGTACAGTCTGGGAGGCTCCTCCTGGATGACTTAACAGTTCAAGTCACCGGCATCCTGGGTATGAGAGTTGGGTGTCCTGTGGGGATGACATGCTGGGGGGGG